GTGTTTCAGCTGTTTTAGTGCATACATCTATATCTTTTTATTTTAAACGGGTAGGATATTCAGATGAAGGAACTGATCTTGTGGTTTTGTCGTGTATATAAATTGTTCCAGTGCTAAGCTAAGCTTAACTCCTAAGCTTCCACTTTAGTCCCATCATTCAATGTCATCCAATGTATTTAATATTAACACAACCCGCTATAGTTTTTGGTTTGTAAACATGAAGGTAGCAGTTTGGACGCGTAGCACTGACAGATAGACTTAGCTATCTATCCATGCTACGGTAGGAAAATCTGACGAGGTAGCACTGATAGTCAGAACACCGGATTACAACCGTCTGTTGCTCTGAGCATTTCACTAGAGGAGCAGATTTATTCCTAAAAGGTAGGTTTATGGCACTGGCAGCGCACTGACCAATAACAGCTGGCGCCTCTGCGCTTTGCCTCGTGCGCTGCCGCTGCTTTACCTCAGCGGGATCGCGCGCGCCTCCTTTCACTCAAACTGGACACAGGCTGACCTGTATGGATATTTATATCAACTTACTGAGGAATTATGTTTCTTTGGTGAACTCATGGTAAGAGTTCAAACCCCACCGCGTTAGCTCTGGCTAAGCACCTCTATGTGAACCACAGGAATAACTTGTAGTCACGCTTTCAGAGGTGCGTTCAGGTAACTGTGAGAATGATTTATCTTTGTGAACAAAGAATTATGTGAGGTGTTTACATCTCAACACGCTGCCCAGCGTGGCTCTGTCTTCCCTGTAAAGTTTATATCTGTGTTCCTGATTGGTCGGAGCGTTAGTGGTTAACCAACCAGCGCTGGGAGAGGGGGACTAGTTTAATTGGCCAACCTAAAATGCAGTTATAATTGCAGTTTACTAATTTGTATTTGTGAACAAAGGTCAAACTAAATCATTAAATTCATAGCATCAGGTTGTTGTTATGGTAACAAAACAAATGAATATTGTTCTTTGAAGATTTTCAAAGTAAACTTGTCAGGTCCTTTAAATCTTACATCTAAATGTTAAACAATTTAAAGTCTTTTAATTTATGTATCCTGAAACCAATAAAACAAATTTAGGGTAACCCTAACCCTACTTTCAATAAATAAATGTTACATTTATGTATCTGTGGTCTGTGTTAAAATATTAGCATTTATGGGCCCCTGAAGCTCTGGGGGCCTTGTGGAGCTGCTGACTTCATTTGAATTAAGCAGAAGTGCAAATAATATTAATTTTAAAATTATTTTTTGATTTGTTGTTTTTAAGACTAGTTATGGGTTTAAATAGCGTTTCACTGGCGATGTTTTCCCATAACATATAATTACTCAGTAATATTTTAACATTTCCTGTCTACTTAACATCTTTTAATACAAAATCACGGTGGACCGCCTTGGCGCCCTGACCACCGGGCTTAACAAGTTTTCTGGGGAAAACCCTGCATAAGTTAAAATTTTACATTTAAGGAGACAGGTATGTAGCTAAGAGATAGGGGATGGGGTTGATGGGCTTGGACTTACCTCGGAGCCTGCAGCAGCACAATTGATGAGGTTATTATTGGGGTTGGCAATCCAGAAAGTTGAAGATGCACTATTGAAAGGGAAGATATAGGAAAAATATATTTATAGTGAAATAGAACTAAATGAAAGAAAGAAAATGCTACCACTCAATACCATTCTAGCCATTCATGAGGGAAGGCATGAGACTGTTCACGATAGCAATTGGGTGGCAGTGCTGCAGGTTCTATAGTCGGCACAAGGCCAGAGTGGTGCTGAGCTACGAGGACTGTACAAGGTTGCTTGCAGCTTTAATTTCAAATTACAACCAAAAATGTTTTTTTCCATTTGTTGTGTGTTCCATATAAAGGAGTTGGTCACCAACGTTCCTCAACCATTTGAATTATTAAGTGGGTTTGAGGATGAGAATGTGTCTGTCGTTGTGTCCTTGGGCAAGACACTTCACCTTGCCTGCTGGTGGCGCTGTTGCATGGCAGCCTCACTTCTGTTCATTCAAACTCAGTGTATGAATTTGAATGGGTGAGTCACTGTAGTGTGGTTTGGGGTCCTCTGGATTTATTAAGGTGCAAAGCCATTTACCATTTAGTGCAGCTGATTCAGCCCATTGTTAATCACCCATTGATTGAAATCAGCTGGGCTAAAGCAAGAAAACATCTAAAACATAAAACACTTAAAAATGACACACCCTGACAAGCCCTCTTAATCAGCACTGATTAAAAGGAGCTCCTCAAGAGCCCCCAACCTCTTTTGCAGGCAACAACCAGCTGTTGCAGCCGGAAGTCATAAGGACCAAGGGAGAAAGGGTATCAACCATCCTCAGGAGGTCAACTGGAAGGGATTTCCACCAGAGTGTAGCTTTGATCCTATCACTCAAAGATAGCCTTGAGCAACTGCCTCTTCACAACTGGCTTCTGGTTTCCAGACTTCGCAGCTGGCTCCAGGGCAAAAGAGTAACCCTCCTGACCCACTGGATCTTCAAGTATCAGGATTCCAATGGCCGAAAGACCGACCAACAGATCCTGTTTGTGGCTTTTACCAGCTGAAAAACTGGCCTTCAGATCCTCTACATGGGTTCCAGAGGCCAAAAAGGCTGATCTTCAGACTGTCTTCATGGATCCCTCTGGCCTCACGGCTGACATCCAGACTTCAGGGTTCAGCTTCACCGACACCCTGCAAGGTTTCTGTTCTACTGGTGTCCTCCAAAATTCCTGTTCCTTTGTCACCGTCGCCCTCCAGACTTTCTGCTCCTTCATCACCTTACAAGGTTCCGGCTCCTTTGTCGGACATCAGAATTTTGTTTGCACTATGAACTAATTAAGAACTAAAGATTTTTTTTCTTTTGGAGACTCCTTCCTAGGTCCCCTCCTCACACCCTGGTTGGGTTGTTTTTGTTTGTTGTTTATAGTTATTTCTTGTTTCTCTAGTTTTATTATCTTTCTTTAGTCTAGTTATTCTTAAGTGTTAGACACATTTCCTGTTCCTCTGTGTACTTTCGCTCACTCCTCAGTCTGCCTCCTGCTTCCTCCACTCACACCTGGAACCCGTTAGCTAATCAACTCAGTTTCTTTGTCAGAGTATTCAATCTCCCAGTACTTAAACACTACATTCCCAGTTCCTCCTTATCAGTTCCTCACATCTAATCCCGTTACTTCCTCGCTCTACCCTGTGTTCTCAAGTCTCTTTGCTGGTTTTTTCCCTTGGATTTTATGGTTTGTATTTTGTCCTTGCTCCCTGTGGTATTTTATGAATTTTTGTCATTTTTTCATTAAACATTTAGCATGATCCATGCTCTCCGCTCTAGTCTGTATTTTGGTTCACTCTATAACTCTCACATAATGTCAATAATGAGAATTGTCAATATGTGAGGTTGAATTTGAAGTGCATAAGGTTGATCCATGTACAGAAAAGCTCTTAATTTTGCACATGTTGAAATTATAAGCACCACAAATTCCAAAGAGTATTAATACATGATGAAGGCAAGAGTATCAACTAAAATGTGGCATCTACTATCTCTTTCTCTTCTACCTGCTATGTGTGAAGCGTAATAAGCAATTAGAATGTAATTTTAGGTGAGTACTGTGAACATTATGTGATTGTAAATATGGTCACATAAGCAGTTATTCTAAATGTAATTTAGTTTTATTTTCAAGTGCAGTTGCAGCAAAAAGATATATATATATATATTTGCTTATCTATATTGTATAGTTACATTTCATACTTTGTGCAAATGGATCTGTCATACAGGTTTGCCTACAAAGTACATTCATTACAGTAATCGGTCCTATTGACTGACAGCACTCAATAGTTTGATTATTTTTAGAAATGTCTGAAAATGTCCTTACCACTACTAAAGTGATCAGAGCAAATGTATGCCATGTTAGATGGCTTCAGATCAGTGATGTGGAGTCAGGGGAGGCATAATGTCAAAATAATATATAATGGTAAGATAATTCATATTGGCATTTTCACCCGGTGGTTTGTACTACAAAGTATTTATTTTTCATTTATTAATGTAATCAAAAATTAGATTAATAATTTTTGATTATTGTTTCTTCAAAATTGTTGAATTTTCTCATTTTCCCATTCAAATGTTTGGAAGAGCAGCCGGTGAGGCAGCAGCAAGCTGAGCTTCACCTTGGATTGCGCAACCTCTCGCTAACCGCTCTGGCTGCCATTCGATGAGAGCATGTTCCTCCTCTGTCTGTCTCAGCAATAAAATGGTTAAAAAATATTTAAGATATTAACTGATTCTCCATAATTTAGCTTATGTATATAATATACAGTGTTTTTTTGTCACCGGCTGTGTGTGTAAGTGTTTTGTCTGCTGAGGAGTGATCATAAACGGCAGAGAACAGATTCAAGGTAAGGAAGGGAGTTTTATTGCCTCATGGCAGGGGGCGCCATTGATCCCAGACAATGGTCTTGTGACTTCACATCTGCAGAGTAAGTGAAAGCGAGCAAGCCATACAGTAAATAAGTCAAGTGCAGCGATATACTTATTGTTTTCTCCTCTCTTTCGACGTCAACATGTATTACTACATTTGTACACTACTGAATGGAAAAATACTACTTTGTTTGAAAAGATTCTCTTCCTGAATTTGAACTGTGGCTCGGATAGAGCTGTATGAAAGAGTTTATTTGTGTTTTTGTGTGCCAACAAGTTGCAGTGGTCCGCATGTCGAGTGAAAGCACAGTCACGAGGTGGAAGGAGTGGAAAGCCGCTAAAGATGCTAGCGATGACTCCTCCTCAAGTAGTACACTGCAAAAACTCAGATTACTAAACTTCAAAATCAATGAGTTTAAAACAACATTTGAGAAGCAGCTGAACTCTAAAACCAACAGCCTTTGTGATTCTCTGCAAAAGTTGGTTAATGAGAGTAAGGAGTGTTCAGTCAGACAGTAAAATAACTCTAGGTGAACATGGATATGGAGATAAGTCTAGTGATAAAAAGAGTTGAACAAATGGAGACTGAAATGGAACGGGCTTGCGAGAAGACTACTTGATTTGATCCTGACGTGTCAACGATTATTTTTGGAGTACTGTATTTTCCGGACTATAAGGCACACCGGATTATAAGGTGGACTCTCAATTATGGCGTCCATTTCTGTATTTAACCCATACATAAGGCACACTGGATTATAAGACGCATGCTAAAACATACGTTCAACAAAAAAAAAGGTAACGGAAACAAAACAGTAAGTTTAGTTGAACTTTATTCGACTATGTAACAATACACTCATGTTATTTTTTTATTCTTCTTCCACAAATCCATCAAAGTCCTCGTCTTCTGTATCTGAATTGATCAGCTGGGCAATTTCGCCATCAAACATGCCAGGTTCCCTCTCATCATTGTCGGAGTCAGTCTTGTTGCCAGGTGGCTGTTCAGCAATGATGCGGCTTTTGCTAAAGCTCGGACAACAGTTAAGGCAGATACATTAGCCCAGGGATCCACCATCCATTCGCACATGGTGGCATAACTCGCCCGGCGCCGCCTCTCCATCTTAGTAAACGTGTGTTCAGTCTGTCGTCCATCGCTCCCACTCCGCTCGCAACTTCTTTTTGAACGCCCTGTTTACACCAATGTCCAGTGGTTGCAGTTCTTTTGTTAATCCTCCCGGAATGATGGCAAACTCCGAATTAGTTTGCTTCACTTCCTTTTTCACAGTAGCAGTGAGATGGGCGCGCATGGAGTCGCAGATGAACAGGGACGGTGATACGTGGAAAAACCTATCTGGTTTTTACCAGAGGCGTATACTGAACTCGGAAAACAATTCTCCGATTGGTTTATCGCTGCTGGCATACGTACTGTACATTTTAAGTCTCTGTGTCAGGGACAGATTTTGGAATTCAGTGCACACTTAAGGCACACCGGATTATAAGGCGCACTGCTGATTTTTGAGAAAATTTAAGGCTTTTGGGTGTGCCTTATAGTCCGGAAAATATGGTACTTTACTGAAGGAGAAGATGTTTCGGACTTGGTGAACAAGCTCCTTGTCGAGGGACTACAGTGGGAGTCGCCACAAACCGGTGCCGGTGTCATTACGGTGGAGAGGACGAAGGACAGGGGAGGACGTCCCAGCGTGACCAAGGTGGAACTTGGATCTATTCAGAAGACAATTAGCTTGCTACGGAAGAAACAGTTGCTTAGAGGGAATGTTAAATATAAATATGTTTACATTCATTCAGCTAAGATGCACACTAAATGGCTTATCAGACTATACTTTAAAACATTACTGGATCAGCTACCCTCTGGCAATCAGTTCTACATTTCCAGAAATGGCAGAGTTAGAAAGTGACAAAATGACAGAGGACAGTCTGGAACGGATGAGATCCGAAAAAGAGCTGGCAATGGAGTTGATGGTCCAACTGATGCAGTGGGTAACAACATGGAATCATCATGGTCAGCTGAGGTTTGAAGTTCCCCAGCCCAGCCTGCAAGTTATGTTCAATATACTCTTGTACACTGGAATATAAATGGATGGACTGAAATTAACTCAGAACTTACAGTTAATACTGAGGAATTTTAATCAGACTTTATTTCACTCAATGAGACTCATCTATCTGGACAAAACACAATTACATTTTCACAATTAATTTTGATTGTTACACTTGGTTTGGACAAAATAAAAAGATGCATATATTAGAGCCAAGAGGGCTCGGATTCTTGCATTCAGTTAAAGCATGTAAAGACAAAAATATTCTTTAGCTTTGATTTCATGTTATCTTCCTCCAAAAGGATCTAACTGGTTTTATCCACATAGATTATATAATGATC